GTAGCCGAAAACGTACTATGTTGACGATTTGTCACCTAGCGTAAAATGTTACGCTTTGGGAGTGAGAACGTGTTGCTACATAAGAATGTTTTCAGGCCCTTTAAAAACAAGAAGAAAAAAGTCATAGCAGAGTTTTTCCACTCTCACTGAAGACAAATAAGTTAAAGATTAAATGACAGTTTAAATTTGGTTATAGAAAGAGCAATCAAAGATTTTCACTTGCACCTGAAACAAACTTTAAGCTCTATTAGACTATTATATACAGACCCTCTCTGAGGACTTCCTTACATCATTTCAGTGACAGAACCAAAGAAAGTGTTTAAACCAGGTTATTTCCTCATACACTTTTCAATGAATTTGTTATCTTATCAGTCTGTGTATCATTTACTGATAATGCATGCATTATCTGCAGCATAGCTACCTTTGAAAGGCAAAAATGAAAACTAATTCATGGTGTCAGTTAACTTATTACTGTGGTCATTTTGTTGGACTTTTTTTTTTGGGGTGTCATATTTAATTTTATATGTGTTTTTGTCACAACTTCTTTTCATAAGGAGGAATTTTACTTATTTTATAATTTATAAATACCAATGTGACCTTTTTCTGGTTGTGATAGTCTTTTTTTATTTATAATACTTTATATAACAATTCATATAATAATAATAATGGAAGTGCTCTAATTTCTTGCTAAGAAAACTGCAGGTTCAAATTTTGGTCAGACTCCCGGATGAGCCCCCAAATGTGTTATGGACAAAAAAGTAAAATGGAAACTTAGCAAAACCTATTTAGAAGCAGAATGTCAAAATCCACCTTACAGCAACTTACTTATTACATGTTACATCTTCTTTGTGTTGGCTATCTAAAGTGAGGTTGGGCATTTAATTTTCCCAAGCGGTCATATGAGAAACTGGAACTGTTGTGATAGGATACACCAATAACCTAAATCTAAAGTAATAGTGAGGAGAACTGATATCAGCTGTTTATGCAGCCTTCTACAACAGTCCCAGTTTCTTATGTGCTCCCTAGGAAACACAAATGACCCAACCCTGATCTGAAATGTAGAAAGTTAAACAGATTTTTGGTGAGCTGAAGCCATTTTTATTACCCTGCTAAAACACCCAATGAAATAAATGCATTGCTTTTCATGCTTAAAAAAAAGCAGAGAAGCTAGATATACTGTAATGCAGGGGTCAGCAACCTTTCTGATGACGAGTGCCATCTAAAATTTCCTCAGAAGTCAATGTGCCATATGATTGCATTAGCAATAAATTTAATAATGATCTATATGAACAGTTACAAACTATATAGAACAACTTTATAGAATTATATTTCTTCGTAGATGTTGGCAGCTATCAGCGAATAGTTATCAGCTATTTTGAAACAAAAAAAGACTTTTTATCCATAACAAGAACTCCATAACAGCAAATGAACTGTACAACAGAAAATGCAAATGCTATTTATGGTCCCCGCACAACAATGATAAGAAAAATAAACAGGGCCAATATGGCATTTTTGTTAATACAGAGACACACATGTTAATGTGACCTCTGGTCACCCACTCAGAGACACAGGTCTAGAAGTGTCCAGCATTCAGACGGCTACCTGAGGACACTCTTCATGTGAGAGAAAATCAGCTCACGCAAATATGTAGAGCCAAATACTATCAATAAGGCCTCTGCAATGTTTTAAAGACTGTTAACCTTGTCAGGCAGTGATGTCCAGCAGGTGAAAATACAAGCACCATGAACACGCACAGCTATAGATTCCAGCTGCGTTCGTAGTCTGCAAACTTTGAACCCCACAGAGTCGAGCTTTTCAGTTCAATCAGTTCATTTCGATGCCCTCTGTGTCCAACCAGTTAATGTGAGACAAATCCAGCTGCTCATTAAAGCTTTTTGGTTTGATTAGAAAAGAAAACATTGGTCCATAGTCCCAAAAGCGCATTCTGTCTCGAGTCTACGGATGTATCCGTGTATTTCCGCGGTGCTGATGCTGCACTGACAGCTCCTGAAGCATTTGAAGTGTTGGAATGTGGAAATTTCAACATTACTTGAAAAAACTGCCAGCTAGCAACGTCCCTCTCACCATTAGGTTAAGTTATTTTTAGCCAATTACAAGTTGAATCTGGTAGTTGGGGTTGTTAGCTAAGATACCGTCATTAAGAAGCAGCACAACTATGCAAGCTAATTCGTGATGTGCACTGCTGGCCCAGCCATTAATTTTTAATTCACTGAGTGTCGTGCCCAGGGCTGGACTGGGACAAAAAATCGGCCCGGGCATTTTGACTAGAGAGTGGCCCACCAGGTATTATAGGAAAAGCTATAAAGCCTTTGAATGAAAACAAATGCTGTTGTGACAGTGAAGTATACTGTCTTGTTGGTATATGTATGATTTCTATACATTTTACATCAGATAAAAACTTTGGTT